TGACCCCTGACCTTCTGCCCCAGGGGTCGAGGGAGCCTGAGTGTGACCACCTTCACCTCCCCATGGACTGAGGGCAGTTAGTGAAGGAGCTCTACAGCGGGAGGAGGGTCTGTTGCGTGGGGAAGTAGGTGGAATTGACAGCCTCCCCCTCCATCAAAAAACACAAGCTCATGTGACAGTGGGTGCAGAGAGAAGGGGGATGGTCACTGAAGGGTTAGGGAGAGCTGTGAAACGAGGTGGTTACTAGCTCCCTTATCAATCCCCCAGAGACAGTGACTGCAGGGATTGTAACGAGATCAGACCCATAGAATATGAGTTCCCTGATTGGGGCTGTTAACCTGGTCCAATCAGGGAGCCCTGGCTGACAGATAGAAACTGGAGTGTCAGAGGTTCTGCTCACTCTGAAAGCTGGCTCTGAGGGAGCTGGGTCAGTGTCAAGGACTCTCCACGTGTAAATAAAGGGGGGACTCGGTGATGGGATAGCAGCCCCCGTGGAGCTGTTTCGAGTGAGACTGGGTAGCAGCACAGAGCAGGAGTGGGGTGTGAATCTGCCATCCGTGCTGGGAGGGCCAGAGCCTCGGCGGGGGGCGCGGGGGGGTAGCTAACACGGGTTGGGTGGCACCACGGATGTCAAACCACCTTCAGGAGCAGCAACTGCACGGAACAGCAACTCTTTCAGGTAAAAGCAAACCTCGCAAAGCTCAGAGCTCCACTCAGACCCAGCCCCCATCGCAGACTGTGCCTGACTGAAAGGAGGGCAACATTTCTGAAGAAGGGTCCTGACCCGAAACGTCAGCTTTCCTACTTTTCTGATGCTGCCTGGCCTGCTGTGTTTCCCCCAGCTCCACACCATGTTATCCTATAACAGCGACGAAGGACAGTGTATCTCGACAGTGAATCTCAAACACCTGCCCTTCGTGTCTCTGTATTCATGTTATAAAATAACCAGTTATATCCTCACGGCTGGTTTAATTACACAGGATCACCCAAAGTAACAAAGCAAATAGCAAATTCACAAAACCTAAACCTGGAAATGCAAGTCCAACTTATCATTTCGATCCATTTACAAGCCAATGGGGCAATTTGGGACAACGACTGGGCTACAATACCCACCAGAAGAGGGCACTTCTGCCATTGGCAGAAACCTTTGCTCCTCCACGTTAATCACTTTGCAAATCCAATCATATTTGTTCCAAAACACAGAGATTCTCAGCCTGGGTCCTGTGAGAGGGTGAACGATGTGAACGCAACGATCCGAGAGGAATTGGATACGTGCAGGGGAGAATATCGCAGGGTTAGGGGCTGAGGGACGGGGAGTTCTGGTTCCTTACCGCCTCTCTGGGGAGGGGTAGTGTTGGCACTTCGAACCTGAGGAACAGTACTATTCCAACTCCACTTCAAACTCTGTTCAGCATTGAGGGAGTGCTGCTCTGTCACAGCAGTGACCCATGTAAATGACACATGGAAACTAGCAGCAGGAGTAGGCCATTCAGCCCTTCAAGCCTGCCATGCCATTAAATACAACCATGGCTGATTGTCTATCTCAATGGCATGTTCTCCTCATCCCCCTTGATGCCTTTAATATCTGAAAAAATGTATCTACCTCTTTGTTGAACATATTCAGTGGCTTGGCCTCCACATCCTTCTGTGGAAGAGGATTCCACTGATTCACTCCCCACTGAGTGAAGAAATATTCACCACCCCCCCACCTCAGTATGGGCCAATTAACCTCTGCTGCACTCCCTCTGTGGTGAATATATCTTTTCTTCGGGAGAAAGACCAAAACCGCACACAATACTCCGGGTGTGGACCCACTGAGGCCCTCAGATATGAAACCTGGAACTTCCCTGAGCATGATGGAGCCTGCACTGGGGAGTAAGGAGAAAGAACATAGGACACAGAATAGTACAGCACGGGAATAGGCCCTTTGGCCCATCGTGTCTGTGTCGACCGCGATGCCATTCTGCACTAATCCCATTTCCCTACACATTGTCCACATCCCTCAATTCCCTCCCTGTCTGTCTACATGTGTCTTTAACGCTGCTATTTTATCTGCTTCTACCACCTCCCCCTGGCAGCACATTCCAGGCACCTACCACCCTCTGTGTAAAAAAACTTTCCTCACATATCTCCTGTAAACTTAGCTCTCTCACCTTAAACCTATGCCCCCTCGTATTTGACATTTCCACCCTGGGAAAAAAAAGACTCTGAATATCCATCCTATCCCAGCTTCTCATAATTTTATATACTTCAGGTTACCCCTCAGCCTCTGATGCTCCAGTGAAAACAACCCAAGTTTGTCCAACCTCTCTGTATAACTAATACACTCCAAACCAGGCAAATATTCTGGTTAAAGAGATAACAAGTTGTATAGCTGGATGAACACAGCAGGCCAAGCAGCATCAGAGGAGCAGGAAGGCTGACGTTTCGGGCCTAGACCCTTCTTCAGAAATGGCCCATCGTGTCTGTGCCGAACGCGATGCCATTTCCCTACACATTGTCCACATCCCTCAATTCTCTCCCTGTCTGTCTAAATGTGTCTTTAACGCTGCTATTTTATCTGCTTCTACCACCTCCCCCTGGCAGCACATTCCAGGCACCTACCACCCTCTGTGTAAAAAAACTTTCCTCACATATCTCCTGTAAATAATCTCCCATTTCTGAAGAAGGGTCTAGGCCCGAAACGTCAGCCTTCCTGCTCCTCTGATGCTGCTTGGCCTGCTGTGTTCATCCAGCTCTACACCTTGTTATCTCAGATTCTCCAGCATCTGCAGTTCCTATCTCTGAAATATTCTGGTTATCCTCTTTTGCACCCTCTCCAAAGACTCCACATTCCTGCAGAATGGCAAGTAGAACCACACAGAATACTCCAAATATGGCCTAACTAAAGTCTTATGTAGCTGCAATATGACTTACCAACTTTTATACTCACTATACAGACCCAGGAAGGCAGCATGCCATATGCCTTCGTTACCACCTTATCTACTGCTGTTGCCACTCTCAGGGAGCTACAGACTTCCACACAACGATCCCTCTGTATGTCAATGTTCCTAAGGGTCCTGCCATTTACTCTATACCTTCCTCTTACATTTGACCTCCAAAAATGCATCACCTCACATGTGTCGAGATTAAAATGCCTTTACCATTTGTCTGCCCAACCTTCCTGTTGTATCCTTTGACAAACCTCCTCACTGCCCACAACTCCATCGATTTTCATGTCATCTGCGAGCTTACTAAGCAGAACTCCTATATTTTCATCCAAATCATTTATATTAATTGTAAACAACAGAGGTCCCATCACGGATCCTTGCAGAACACCACTGGTTACAAAAGCTCCCGTCCATAAGTACAGGATAACACAGTGTGGAGATGGAGGAACACAGCAGGCCAGGCAGCATCAGAGGAGCAGGAAAGCTGTCGTTTCGGAGCTGCCTGGCCTGCTGTGTTCCTCTAGCTCCACACTGTGTTTTCTCTGACTCCAACATTGGCAGCTCTTATTTCTGTGACCAAGCCAATGTTGTATGCAACTTACCACCTCACCATGGATCCCATGTGACTTAATCTTTTGGACCAGCTCTCCATGACAGACCTTGTCAAATGCTTTCATAAAACCCATGTAGACGATATCCACTGTCCTACCCTCCACAAATAACCTTTGTCACTTCCTCAAAGTCCCAAACAAATTTGTTAGGCAAGACCTGCCCACATAAAGCCATGCTGACTATCCTGAATAAATACATTCCCTTCCAAATGCTAGCAAATCTTATCCCTAAGAATCTTCTCCAATAATTTCCCCAACATTGATGTCAGGCTCACCGGCCTTTAATGTCCTCAGTTATCCCTACTGCCCTTAAACAAAGGAACAATATTGGCTAAATCAGGGCAGGACTTATACACTTAATGGTAAGGTCCTGGGGAGTGTTATTGAACAAAGAGACCTTAGGGTGCAGGTTCATAGTTCCTTGAAAGTGGACTCGCAGGTAGACAGGATAGTGAAGAAAGCGTTTGGTATGCAAATGTTTATTGATCAGTGCATTGAGTACAGGAGTTGGGAGGTCATGTTGTCGCTGTACAGGACATTGGTTAGGCCACTTTTGGAATATTGTATTCTGGTCTCCCTGCTATAGGAAGGACATTATTAAACTTGAAAGGGTTCAGGAAGGATTTACAAGAATGTTGCCAGGGTTGGAGTATAGGGAGAGGTTGAATAGGCTGGAGCTATTTTCCCTGGAGCATCAGAAGCTGAGGGGTGACCCTATAGAGGTTTATAAAATCATGAGAGGCATGGATAGGGTGAATAGACAAGGTCTTTTCCCCAGGGTGGGGGAGTCTAAAACTAGAGGGTATAAGTTTAAGGTGAGAGGGGAAAGATTTAAAAGGGACCTCATGGGCAACTTTTTCATGCAGATGTTTTTTTTTATTCATTCATGGGATGAAGGTGTTGCTAAACAGGCTGGATTCCTTGCTCATCCCTAATTGCCCAGAGGGCAGTTCAGAGTCAACTCCATTGCTGTGGGTCTGGAGTCACATGTAGGCCAGACCAGGTAAGGATGGCAGTTTCCTTCCCTAAAGGACATTAATGAACCAGATGGGTTTTTCCTGACAACTGACAATGGATTCATGGTCACCATTAGACTCCTAATTCTAGGCATTTATTGAATTCAAATTGCACCATCTGCCATGGCAGGATTTGAACCCAGGTCCCCAGAATGTTATCTGGGTCTCTGGATTAATAGTCCAGCGATGATACCACTAGGCCATTGCCTCCCCACCTAACCTCTGCATACAAAAGCTTTTCAGTGACGATATTTTGGGGTTGAAAGTTGCCCATGAGTACTGTGTGAGCAGTGTTGGGATGTAGGATGGGGGAAACAGCTGTTATAATTTGGTCGGATCTGCACAGTGTCCATTGTTGCTTCAGAGTTCATGGTCCTACCTGGGGTCCACACACCTTGAGTTAGAGAAAGGGGTAAGAGGTCCTTTTTTAATCATTGACTTACCGAAAGCGACAGAGTATAATCATTGCAATTGCTAGAGAAACCAGGGAGGTGCTGTAACCCACAGTGTAGAGAGCTTTCACGGATACATAGTACAGATCCTGCAAAAGAGAAAAGGAGACCAGGTAAAAATAGTGTTATTACAGGTTAAAAATGGGGGAGGTCATAGGGACATTGAAACCATCCACCTCCTCTTGATCAGCACCTCAAACCATCGCTCTCTCCAACACCATCTCAGCAATATCAGAAACATCCAGAAGATCACACCTTCATCAGAGTCCAAAACCGGTTCATGTGATACCAGGACACATGAAGAGATATTAGGATCATGGATACCGTTTGAAGGAGCATCTTAAAGGGGGAAGTTGTTGACATCATGACAATGAGGCCTGGAGTGCTGAAACCAAACCTCAGCCAGTCGAGCAGCTCTTGAGGAGATTATGGTGAAAAATGAACCACAAATAAATCCCAATAGAAGAGGCACATACCTGATAAGGCTTTTACATCTCAGCAACATGTGCAGGTTCCATTGTACCGATGGCAGGAAGCAGACATAACTGGCACCGAGTATAAACCTTTAGGACTGCATAAGACTTCTCTTTGAGTCACCGAGTGGCTGTGTTGTGGGTGAAACTTTCCGTTAGCTCATGGGTTACTACAGCTCTCCCATCCACGACAGCAGGCAGGGAGGCAGGGTGGTATTGGGAGGAAATTCCAGAGGTCAGGGCCCAAACAGCCAAGACCCGGTCAATGACAAGACAATAAAAATCGCAGAAAGCACAGGAGGCCCTGGTCAGAGGAGAACTGGCATCTTGGAGCTCCATATCTCTTTTACTCCATCGCCAACTGGGCCAGCATTTCTTGCCCATCCCTAGTTGCCCCTTGAGAAGGTGGGGGTGAGCTGCCTTCTTGAACCGCTGCAGTCCTCCTGCTGTGGGTTGACCCACGATGTCCTTAGGGAGGGAATTCCAGGATTTTGACCCAGCAACTGTGAAGGAACGGCGATATATTTCCAGGTCAGGATGGTGAGTGACTTGGAGGGGAACTTGCAGGGGGTGGTGTTCCCTTGTATCTGCTGCCCTTGTCCTTCTAGATGGAAGTGGTCGTGGGTTTGGAAGGTGCTGTCTGAGGATCTTTGGTGAGTTTCTGCAGTGCATCTTGTAGCTGGTACACACTGCTGCTACTGAGCGTCGGTGGTGGAGGGAGTGGGTTCTTGTGGATGTGGTGCCAATCAAACGGCTGCTTTGTCCTGGATGGTGTCAAACTTCTTGAGTGTTGTTGGGGCTGCAACCATCCAGGCAAGTGGGGAGTATTCCATCACACTCCTGACTTGTGCCTTGTAGATGGTGGACAGGCTTTGGGGAGTCAGAAGGTGAGTTACTCCCACAGTATTCCCAGCTTCTGGCCTGCTCTTGTAGCCGCTGTGTTTATGTGGTGAGTCCAGTCAGTTTCTGGTCAATGGTAACCCCCAGGATGATGATAGTGGGGGATTCAGTGATGGTTAACACCATTGAATGTCAAGGGATGGTGGTTAGATTGACCCTTATTGGTGATGGTCATAGCCTGGCATTTGTCACTTGCCATTTGTCAGCCCAAGTCTGGATATTGTCCAGATCTTGTTGCATTTGAACATGGACTGCTTCAGTACCTGAGGAGTCACGAATCGTGCTGAACATTGTACAATCATTGGCGAGCGTCCCCACTTCTGACCTTATGATGGAGGGAAGGTCATTGATGAAGCAGCTGAAGATGGTTGGGCCTAGGACACTACCCTGAGGAACTCCTGCAGAGATGTCCTGGAGCTGAGATGATTGACCTCCAACAACCAAGACCATCTTCCTATGTGTCAGGTATGACTCCAACGACCAGAGAGTTTGCCCCCCGATACCCATTGATTCCAGGTTTGCTCGGGCTCTTGTTTCCAGCGGCAGCATTGTAAGCCAGAGTGCCAACGGGAAGGTAAGGTTGTTTTTTTTCTCTAGTATAAAAACTTATCTCGTGCAGCAGCGGCCTTCTTGTTTTCAGTGGCGGGTGTGTGGAGAGAACGCGAGCCAGTAGGGAACTGATATATTCGGGCATTGGCTAAACCCGAAACACTACACGTGTAGCGTCTCCCACCCATCCTCCTCCTCTAACCAAAAAAAAAAGACTGTGTGGAGGGTCGGTAAGGTAAGGCTCTTTTAAAAAATTCTTCTGGAAATCTAGAGTAGAGGGAATGGAAGCTTGGACAGTTGCATGCTCCTCTTGCAGGATGTGGGAGGTCAGGGTCACTGCTGGTGTCCCCTCTGACTTCACCTGCGAGAAGTGCACCCAACACCAGCTCCTCAAAAACCGTGTTAAGGAACTGGAGCTGGAGCTGGATGAACTCCGGATCATTCAGGAGGCTGAGGGGGTGATAGAGAGGAGTTATAGGGAGGTGGTCACACCCAAGGTACAGGAAAAAGGTAGCTGGTGACTGTCAGGAAGGGGAAAGGGGATAGGCAGACAGTGCAGGGATCCCCCGTGGCCATTCCCCTCAATAATAAGTATACCATTTTGGATAGTGTCGTGGGGGACCCACCAGGGGAAGGCCATGGTGGACAGGTCTCTGGCACTGAGCCTGACCCTGTGGCACAGAAGGGAAGTGGGGAGAATAGGAGAGCAATTGTAGTGAGGGATTCGATAGTAAGAGGCACAGACAGATGGTTCTGTGGATGCGAACGAGATGAATGGATGGTATGTTGCCTCCCGGGTGCCAGGGTCCGTGATATCTCGGATTGTGTCTTCAACATCCTTAAGGGGGAGGGTGAGCAACCAGCAGTCGTGGTACACATCGGTACCAATGACATAGGTAGGAAAAGGACTGAGAATATGAGAAACGAGTACAGGGAGTTAGGTTGGAACCTGAAGCCCAGGACAAACAGGGTAGTTATTTCTGGATTACTAACAGTGCCACGTGATAACAAGGTAAGAAATAGGGAGAGAGTGCAGCTAAACACATGGCTACAGGGCTGGTGTAGGAGGGAGGGCTTCCATTATGTGGATAATTAGAGCACATTCTGGGGAAGGTGGGACCTGTACAGTAAGGACGGGTTGCACCTGAACAGGAAGGGCACAAATATCCTGGGAGGGAGGTTTGCTCGAGCTATACGGGATGGTTTAAAGTAGATTGGCAGGGGGTGGGGAACCGGATTTATAATTCAGAGGATGAGGTATTCAGCCTTCCCACAGACACAACAGGGAGTGAGGTTGTTTATAAAGAAATGCGGTCAATGGAGTGTAATTGTGGACACAGAGATGGTTTGAGGGGTGTACACTTCAATGCTAGAAGTATCAGAAATAAGGCGGATGAACTTAGAGCATGGGTCGGTACTTGGAACTACGATGTTGTGGCCATTACAGAAACTTGGGTAACTCAGGGAGAGGAATGGTTGTTGGAAGTTCCGGGATTTAGATGCTTTTAAAGAAATAGGGAGAGTGGAGAAAGGAGGCGGGGGAGTGGCATTGCTAGTCAGGGCTAATATAGCAGCTACTGAAAGGCAGTTCGAGAATGATATGTCTACAGAGTCAGTTTGGGTTGAGGTCAGGAACAAGAAAGGAGCAGAAACTTTGTTGGGGGTTTTTTACAGACCCCGTAATAGTTCCAGAGAAGTAGAGGAGTGGATTGGGAGGCAGATACTGGAAAGGTGCAGAAGTCACAGGGTTGTAGTCATGGGTGACTTCAACTTTCCAAATATTGATTGGAAACTTTTTAGTTGTAATAGTTTAGATGGAGTGGATTTTGTCCAGTGCGTTCAGGAAGGATTCCTGACACAGTATGTAGATAGACCAACACGAGGAGAGGCCACTTTGGATTTGGTGCTTGGCAATGAACTGGTAGGAGCTGTTGGTAGGAGAGCATTTTGGCAGTAGTGATCATAACTCTGTTACTTTCACAATAGTCATGGAAAAGGATAGGTACATACAGCAGGGTCAGGTTTATAATTGGGGGAAGGATAATTACAATTCTGTTAGGCAAGAACTGGGTAACATAAATTGGGAACAGATGCTGTCAGGGAAGAGCACTATTGAAATGTGGAGATTGTTTAAGGAATGCATACTGTGTGTGCTCGATATGTTTGTCCCTAGCAGGCAGGGAAGATGCGGTCAAGTGAGGGAGCCTTGGTTCTCAAGAGAGGTCGAACGTCTGGTTAAGAGGAAGTAGGATGCTTATGTAAGATTTAGGAAACAAGGAACGGAAAAGGCTCCAGAGGGATACAAGTTATGCAGGAAGGAGCTGAAGAAAGAGCTTAGGAGAGCTATAAGGGGGCATGAGAAAACCTTGGCAGATAGGATCAAGGAAAACTCCAAGCCTTTTTACACGTACGTGAGGAATAAGAGAATGACTAGAGAAAGGGTAGGGCCGATCAAAGATTGTAAAGCGAATTTGTGCCCGGAGCCTAAAGAGATAGGAGAGGTCCTTAATGAATACTTTTCTTTGGTATTCACAACTCAGAGGGACCTAGTTGTAGAGGAGGACAGTGTGAAACAGGCTGGTCGGCTGGAGGAGGTCGATGTTAGTAAGGAAGGTGTGCTAGGAATTCTGAGGAAGTTGAAGATACATAAGTCCCCCAGGCCTGATGGAATTTATCCAATGATTCTATGGGAAGCGAGGGACGAGGTCGCAGGGCTTTTGGCGATGATCTGTTCGTCCTCACTGTCCACGGGTATAGTGCCGGAAGATTGGAGAGAGGCAAACGTCATTCCCTTGTTCAAAAAAGGGAATAGGGATAACCCCGGAAATTACAGGCCAGTTAGTCTTACATCAATGGTGGGCAAATTATTGGAAAGGGCCCTGAGAGATAAGATTTATGATCACTTGGAAAGGTACAGTTTGATTTGTGATAGTCAGCATGGATTTGTGAGGAGTAGATCATGCCTCACAAACCTTATTGAATTCTTTGAAGAGGTGACCAAACACGTGGATGAAGGTAGAGCAGTGGATGTGGTATACATGGATTTAAGTAAGGCGTTTGATAAGGTTCCTGATGGTAGGCTCATGCAGAAGGTAAGGAGACATGGGATAGGGGGAAATGTGGCAGATTGGATTCAGAATTGACTGACCCTTAGAAGACAAAGGGTG